TTATTTTATATATATATTAAAGCTAAAACAAGTAATTTTCAATAATTTTCAACAGCCTAGTTTGAATTATTCCACATATAACATGTTTACCACATGTGCATCTACATAATGTGTTATCAGGTTTTCATCTTGAAAAAACAGTAGTTCTAAAAAGTTTGAAAATAACTACTTACTACACAAAAACATTTTTACTAGTTTGAAAACAAGATGGCAAAGCAATATGTAACTAATTTGGTCAACAAACCTGGAACTACTTCATAACCATGCAGAAAATTAATCAGCACCTTCAAACATACATCAACCAATCAGAATCAAGCATTCAGCAGTATCGTGGCATGAACATTGATTAGAAGATGTCATGTTCGCTGATATCACTGAATGCATGAATCAAGTTTTAGGTAATCTACCTATGAAAAGTCAAATACATAAACAGCATTCATTTTAACAAAACAAATCTTAAAAACTCGACGTCACATTAAAATCTGCATCTATAAAAGGAAGGTAGCCAACAGTGAAGATTAACTACAATAGTACATTTTGGCTGGCAAATGATAATTCAAAGCCATCATTATCTGTCCTTGCCACACACGCCCCTCACAAATCCCCAATAGTCTGTCTTACCCCCCATATGCTCCAAAAGTTAAGCTCCTCGTCCTGTGAGACATTCTTCTGTTTTCCCTCTTAACCTTCTACTCTACGGTCTCTTGTCCTCTGTCTATCTTTGACAGAGGACACTTGTTTTGTGCCTCTGTCTCAATGTGTGAGATTGTGTCCCTCCTTCTCTGCTTCCCATCCTCCTCTCTTCCCTCCCTTTCACTACCTGAGATGGAAGATCCACAGCTATGAGCAGGTGCTTGTCTTTTAAATGATTTCTTTACTTTGAGACACACACATATGGGTCAGTGACTATAACATGGATTTCCAAGAGGATGAAAAGTAAATTATTGAAAAGATTAAAAGAAAAAACTATTTAAAGACTAGTTTAAAATGTAACCCAGTCTTATGAGAAGTCGTAAAAATCTTTTCAGCTCAAACCCAAATCTAACCATGATTAATTAAAAAAATAATAAAAATCCTTCCTTTTGTGCAACACTGGTTGTACGATAACATACAATTTCACCATGTTATATGAATTAAGAGTTGTCAATAGAGTGTGCTGGAAATATCATCATGTTTGTTTCATACTATTTTTTTAATTATTATTTAACTGTAACAATTTTGTGGATCAGTGTGTGTTTGTATATACAGTATATATATATATATATATATATATATACTGTATATACAAACACACACTGATCCACAAAATTGTTACAGTTAAATAATAATTAAAAAAATAGTATGAAACAAACATGATGATATTTCCAGCACACTCTATTGACAACTCTTAATTCATATAACATGGTGAAATTGTATGTTATCGTACAACCAGTGTTGCACAAAAGGAAGGATTTTTATTATTTTTTTAATTAATCATGGTTAGATTTGGGTTTGAGCTGAAAAGATTTTTACGACTTCTCATAAGACTGGGTTACATTTTAAACTAGTCTTTAAATAGTTTTTTCTTTTAATCTTTTCAATAATTTACTTTTCATCCTCTTGGAAATCCATGTTATAGTCACTGACCCATATGTGTGTGTCTCAAAGTAAAGAAATCATTTAAAAGACAAGCACCTGCTCATAGCTGTGGATCTTCCATCTCAGGTAGTGAAAGGGAGGGAAGAGAGGAGGATGGGAAGCAGAGAAGGAGGGACACAATCTCACACATTGAGACAGAGGCACAAAACAAGTGTCCTCTGTCAAAGATAGACAGAGGACAAGAGACCGTAGAGTAGAAGGTTAAGAGGGAAAACAGAAGAATGTCTCACAGGACGAGGAGCTTAACTTTTGGAGCATATGGGGGGTAAGACAGACTATTGGGGATTTGTGAGGGGCGTGTGTGGCAAGGACAGATAATGATGGCTTTGAATTATCATTTGCCAGCCAAAATGTACTATTGTAGTTAATCTTCACTGTTGGCTACCTTCCTTTTATAGATGCAGATTTTAATGTGAC